TATACTCGATATCTCTTGGGATTTTCCTAAGAAATCTCGTTCCATGGATAACGGCTGAGTGTTCCGATAGAAATACTAACCGGCACTCTCAAATGTAAATATAAATTAAGAACAATAATAATAATTGCAACGCTCAAAATAATCCAATAAGTTAAATAAGCACCCATATTTGTTTTTGCTGATGACGATTGAACAGGCCATAAAACTGAAACGGTCAATTTGGCCGGCGGCCGGTTCTTATGGAAAACACTGTACATATGTCAGCTTTTTTTTTTTTTTCTTTTAATTTCAGTCAACATATTGGCATAAACAGCTTTGTAATTCTGTAGGATTTACTTCATTTTTTCGGGTGTTTGACTGTTATCTGATGAAATTATAGCGTTTATAAAATTTGGACCACCACAGAAACTTCTCTAAATGGGAGACTACTGAAATTTACTTCAAATTTGTTTTGAGTCCAGCAATAGTGAAATCCTTGGTGTATGGGAGACAACTCTTAATATTCAACTCATTATAGACATATGAAAAACATTGTTTATAAAGAAAAACAACTGTTGCATAGGAACACACAAAAGGAAAAATTTAAGATAATTTGTATGTTTTCACAACATTTTCCCTAAACATTTAAGCTACAAAATGTATGTTTGAGCAAGTTACTGTGTGTGTAAAAAAAAAATTTGATGTCCCTGGTTAATGCATGTGAACTTTAAAGATTAATTTTAGAGGCAAACCTTAACTTGATGATATGTTTTAAATACATTTTCATTGACTTTGAATATTCCTGTTTCCATTTCATGATTAGTCCTTGTCACAACAGCATGTCCATACTGAAAGACATTGATAAACCAACTAGTGCTGAGAAAGCATGACAATCCGGAATAATTCCTTCACTAGTTACAAAAAATTCCAAAATATAATTTTTCCCCTTTTGTCGCCAAGCTATAACTGTTACAAATTAGTCAGAATTACTTTTGTAATTTCGAAAATCGTTTCGTAAATGGCGAAAAGGATGAGCGCTGGCAAAATCACTGGTCAATAGCCTGTCAACACTGAGGTTGTGAGTTCAAAGTCAGCTCGTGGCTGTTGCTTTTGACTCCAATCTTAATTGACTAGGATTAGTCCGTGGCGATCTGAGCACTTTTACTACCAAATTGGTGGACACAATTTAGCCAAGACTGCTGAAAGTGGTGTTAAAACACAAACAATCAAACAATCATTTTAATGATAAAATCAAAATTTTAAAAAGTTGTTGAAACATAATTTTTTTTTTTTGGCACATAATTATTGTGCAATTCTCACATTAGATCAACTCTTGAAGTTATTTTTAACAATTTATTTCTAATGATTGAAAAGAAAACACCATATTAAAGTTAATATACCAGAAAAATATACAATGTGAATTCTGGAAGAAATCTTGCTGAATCTGGAAACCGTTTTGTATATTTTGGTATTCAAATATAACATCAAATAGTTCAAATGATATAGAAATAAATGATGATATGATTAAATTTTTAGTAATTTAATTTATTTTATTGTTTTATCAATTGTGTAAAATTACAGTTTTTCTCAGGGGTTGGTGGTTACTTTGGTAAATTAATAATTTTGTTTTTCTTCTCCATGTTCTCAGAGCAATTAAGCATTTTTATTCTATCTCCTCTTTATGTATAAGAGGATTTATCACATTGAGGGTGCAAATATATAAATGCTGTTAGAAAGGTAATATAATGGGGAATAACTCATACCGCGAAAATTTCCCAGTTTACAGTAGTTAAAACTCTGCAATTTTGATAGTTGTCTAAAGAAAAGAACTGATAATTATCACCTATTGAATTATGGATTTATTACAGATCAATTTACATGTATACAAAGCGCTCACTGATTTTGTAAGTAAAGTAGATGCCATTTGCATTGATATTTCTTTTTCTTGGTTTTCCTATCAAAATATTACTTTTGGGGTTTAGTATTCTGGAGCATATGTTTTGTTTTTGGGTAAATGTATGGACCTTATATCTTTTTGATTATTATTGTAATGAAATATGAAAAATGCTTAATTACCATTTTAACAAGCAGGTTTCTATCTGTAGACCCCTGGCACGCACAGTACGTTAGCACTATTCCAAATGAGCTAAATTATTAGCTTGATGACACAATTATTGCCCTTTGCTTTACGTTGTCAACCAATATAGTCCGTCGTGTGGACACTGTATAATACTTGCAAATATTTTTTGCTGCGTCGCCATATGTTGGAGCAGGTCTTGTAACTGCTCAACTCTATCCGTCTGTCTGAAAGAAATCTTTCATGAAAGTTTTCTTGGCTTCAATGAAAGAAATGATTTAATATGTGGTGTGCAGCTTTAAAATATTGAGTTGTAGTGAGGAAGTAATTTTTACATCTCACATGTATCCACTTCCTGTAAATTCAATAGTTTGAATTTCTACAACACTCATTGTACAAGGAAGATTTTCATCAAAGTTTTCTCATCATCAATACAAGGGAATGATTTAATATTTCTTCTGCAACTTTATAATGTTGAGTTGTAGCTAGTAAGCAACTTTTTTTACTTTTGGTGTATCGCGACTACCTGTTTGCCAATAGTTTTTAATTTAAAAAAACTCATTGTACAAGGAAAATTTTCGTCAAAGTTTTCTCATCTTCAAGAAAAGGGAATGATTTTATATTTGGTTTGCAGCTTTATAATGTTGAGTTGTAGCCAGTAAGCTATTTTTAAATCCTTCAAACTATTTTAACCCCGCCACATTCTGTATACGCCTGTCCCAAGTCAGGAGCCTGTAATTCAGTGGTTGTCATTTGTTGCTGTATATCATTTTTATTTTTCATTATTTTGTACATAAAAAAGGCTGTTAGTTTTCTAGTTTGATTTGTTTTACATTTGTCATTTTGGGGCCTGTTGTAGCTGACTAAAAGGTATGGGTTTAACTCATTGTTGAAGGCCGTACGGTGACCTATAGTTGTTAATTTCTGTGTCATTTGGTCTCTTGTAAATAGTTGTCTCATTGGCAATCATGCCACATCTTCTCATTTTTAGCTCACCTGGCCTGAATGGCCAAGTGAGCTTTTCTCATCACTTGGCGTCCGTCGTCCGTCATCGTTAGCTTTTTACAAAAATCTTCTCCTCTGAAACCACAGGGCCAAATTTAACCAAACTTGGCCACAATCATCATTAGGGTATCTAGTTTTAAAAAATGTGTCCAATGACCCTGCCAACCAACCAAGATGGCCGCCATGGCTAAAAATAGAACATAGGGGTAAAATGTAGATTTTGGCTTGTATCTCTGAAACCAAAGCATTAAGAGTAAATCTGACATGGGTAAAACTGATTATCAGGTCAAGATCTATCTGCCCTGAAATTTTCAGACAAATCTGACAAACTGTTGTTGGGTTGCTGCCCCTGAATTGGTAATTTTAAGGAAATTTTGCAGTTTTTGGTTATTATCTTGAATATTATTATAGATAGAGATAAACTGTAAACAGCGATAATGTTCAGCAAAGTAAGATCTACTAATAAGTTGTCATGACCAAAATTGTCAGTCGACCCCTTTAGGAGTTATTGCCCTTAATAGTCAATTTTTAACAATTTTTTGTAAATTTTTGTAATCTTTTACAAAAATCTTCTCTGAAACTACTCAGACAAATTTAACCATACTTGGCCATAATCATTATTAGGGTATCTAGTTTAAAAAATTTGTCCGATGACCCCGCCTTCTAACCATCATGGCCGACTTGGTTAAAAATAGAACATAGGGGTAAAATGCAGTTTTTGGTATATATCTCTGAAACTAAAGCATTCAGAGCAAATCTGACAGGTGCCAAAAATGTTCATCAGATTTAGATTTATCTGCCCTGAAATTTTCAGACGAATCCGACAACCCGTTGTTGGGTTACTGCCCCTGAGTTAGTAATTTTACAAAAATTTTGCAGTTTTTTGTTATTATCTTAGATATCATTATAATATCTAATGTCTAATACTATTAATTATGATTTTAACCTTATTTTACATGATTTCCAAAGCATCAGTAAATACAGGTGAGCAGCACAGGCTCTTGAGAGCCTCTAGTTTTTTATTTATCCACTTCTTGTTTGCCCATATTTTAAAATTTTCCAACACTCATTGTACAAGGAAAATTCGTCAAATTTTCTTTGCTCTCATTGAAGGGAATGATTTAATATTTGGTCTGCAGCTAAGTTATGTTGAGTTGTAGCAAGTAGGAAATTTTTACATCTGCTGTGTAGCTTCTTCCTACTTGCTGATACATGTAGTTTGAAATTTACAACACACATATTTTAATTGTACAAGGAAAATTTTTGTTAAAGTTTTCTCGGCTCCTTTTGAATAAAGGAAATGATTTCATATTTGGTCTGCACCTTAATAATGTCAAGTTGCAGCCAGTAAGCAATTTTTAAATCTGCCATGTAGCCACTTCCTGTTTGCCAATATTTTGAAATTTTACTACATTCATTGTATAACCAAAGTTTTTGTCAAAGTTTTCTTGGCTTCAGCACAAGTGCTCCAGTATACATGCTACATCAATCAATTACATGCAGCCAAGCAGGTCCAGACCTGGTATTGGTATTGTTCATACACCCTCCAAATTTATTTCTTCCATGTTTGATGCCTCAAATAGCAAGTAGGGTGATGAAATTTCACTCTAAAAAGGGTTATGAATTTAAGGTGAATAGTGATCCAGTTGAAAAAAGGTCAAAGTTAGTATTTTGAGTCAAAGCTGATGAAGTTTCTATAATATGTCTTGACTCAAAAGTAGTACACTATAAAAATATTTTCGAGAAAGCGCAGGTGCATTTTAGTATTGCTTTAGACTATGAATTAGCAAATTGATTTTTATCCAATGTACATGCTTTAATAAAAGTTCATTCTTTAGGATGAACAAAAAAAAATCTAAAGAGAATCTTTGGATGTATGGTACAAAAGTGAACTTCTGACTGTATTTCTTTGAAAATAAATCTTGCTAAATTTTAACAGGAGTAGAGACCAGTAAACCATGTCAATGAAAGATAGTCATAAACTGTTCCTACAGTCTTTCATGTCGAGAGGACTACTAGATGCTAAGGAGGTGCGACAATTGTACAGAACTTGTTGTCTTAAATTCAATGGTAAGTACAAGTATATAATTAAAGTAGGTATTGGTAATTATAAGTAAATGTAAGTCAATTGATTTTACTTGTTTTTTTAAGTTGTTTAATTACAAAATGAAAAATGACAAATTATTTTAAGATGTTACTACAGCTGACGAGCTATCTGACATGTACAATGTGTGTAAAAGAACCACTCCTTGAAAACTATATTGTATAATGGTTAGAGAGAAACAAGAGCAATAATGATTAGTAAAAAGGAAAATCAAATCAACACAACTGATATTGCCAACCAGTCCTTATGGGATTTATATCCCTAAAATGATTAGTTTTATCCATTTTGTGTTTTAATGCTGTAATAGATGGAAAGAAACAGTCTCCTGCAAAAATGATTGATGTTGATTAAGATCTTCAAAAATGTCTAGCATACATGTATGTAACTGACATAGTGTATCTACTCTGTATGGTCATGATGGTAGGTATCGCAGTTTACTGACCATTTTTGTCGAGCCTGCGACTTCTGTCGCAGAAAGCACGACATAGGGATAGTGATCCGGCGGCAGCGGCGTTAATGAACTTCTTAAAAGCTTTATATTTTAAAAGGTGGAAGACCTGGATGCTTCATACTTTGTATACATATGCCTTATGTTATGAAGTTTCCGTCTGTCATATGTCATTTGTCCTTGACCTCATTTTCATGGTTCAGTGACTACTTGAAAAAAAGTTATTTTTTGTAATGTAAATTTCTCTCTTGTAATGAGTAATAGGATAAATATATGTAGTATGTGCGTACCTTGCAAGGTCCTCATGCCTGTCATGCAGTTTTCATCTGACCTTGACCTCATTTTCATGGTTCAGCAGTTAAAGTTCAGTGTTTGTGCTTTGGTCTTTTTTTCTGATACTATATGCAATAGGTCAACTATATTTGGTGTGTGGAAATATTTTACAATGTACATATCAGTCTGGCAGGTTTTATTTGACTTTGACCTCATTTTCACGGTTCATTGCTCAGTGTTAAGTGTTTGTGTTTTGGTCTATTTTTTGTCTCGACTGCTTGAAAAAAAAATTGAGTTTTTTTGTCAAGTGAATTTCTCACTTATTATGAATAATAGGATATCTATATTTGGTATATGCAATGTCTACATGTCTGTCAGACAGAGTTCACCTGACCTTGACCTCATTTCATAGATCAGTGATCATTCTCAAATACTATAAGCAGTAGGTCAACTGTATTTGGTGTATGGAATGATTGTAATGGGTACATGTCAGTCTAGCAGGTTTCATCAGACCTTGACCTCATTTTCATGGTTCATTGGTCAATGTTAAGTTTTTGTCTGTTTTTCAAGTACTATAAGCAATAGGTTAATTATATTTGGTGTATGGAATGATTGAAAGGTGTACATGTCTGCCTGGCAGGTGTCTGTCTGACACGATTTATCTCACCTTGACCTCATTGTCATAGATCTTTAAAAATGTTAAGTTTCTGTAATGCTTTTAGTAAAACCTTTATCTTTAAGACTTTCAACATAAAATCAATGGTCAGTAAAGCAGGTGAGACATTTCAGCCTGTGCACTTTTGTCTTAAACTACAAGCAATAGGTCAGCTATTTGGTGTATGGAATGATTGTAAGGTGTATATGTCTGTCTGGCAGGTATCATCTGACCTGACCTCATTTTCATGGTTCATTGGTCAATGTGAAGTTTTCATGGTTAAGTTTGTTTCTTAGGTACTATCTATAAGTAATAGGTCAACTATATTAAATGAATAGATTGATGGTAAGGTGTACATACCTGTTTGGCATGGTTCATCTGACCTTGACCTCATTTTCATGGTTCATTGGTCAATGTTAAATTTTCCTGGTTAAGTTTGTTTCTTAGAAACTATAAGCAATAGCTCAACTATATTTGGTGTATGGAATGATTGTAAGATTTTGTTTGCCCAGTGACAGTGTGGAGGTGTGGGGTATGTGAGCGTGCTCACAAAGGTTCTTTAATTCTTATACTGTGAACAGCTTAAATGATCAGCAAGATAAGATCTACAAATAGTTAAACATATATAACTGAGTGGGTCTGGCTCAAATATGATAGTGTGTTAAGATACACTGTTGCTAATTATAATGATTATAGTGTTGCATATTTTACCATGTGAGTGATTTGGGGTCCTGTGAGCCTCTAGTTCTTTGTTTAATTTTTGCTAGCATCCAAATTTAATTTAATTTGAAGTGTTTATTATGTTTAAATTTGAAGTGTTTATTATGTTTTAAAGAGAAATATGCAGAAAAGGAAGAAGATCAGAAAGCACATTTGTTGGAATTTGTGAGATCTATAAATAGAAATATTCAACCGTTTCACATGGAAATTAAAAAAGGTGTTAGTGAGGAAGAAGGAAAAAGTTTTTACTGTTTGGTAAGTACGGGATATTGATTTACTGTTTGGTAAGTACATGATATTGATTTACTGTTTGGTAAGTACATGATATTGACTTACTGTTTGGTAAGTACGGGATATTGATTTACTGTTTGGTAAGTACAGGATATTGACTTACTGTTTGGTAAGTATGTGATATTGATTTACTGTTTGGTAAGTACATGATATTGACTTACTGTTTGGTAAGTACGGGATATTGATTTACTGTTTGGTAAGTACAGGATATTGACTTACTGTTTGGTAAGTATGTGATATTGATTTACTGTTTGGTAAGTACAGGATATTGATTTAATGTTTGGTAAGTACATGATATTGATTTACTGTTTGGTAAGTACATGATATTGATTTACTGTTTGGTAAGTACATGATATTGATTTACTGTTTGGTAAATACGTGATATTGATTTACTGTTTGGTAAGTACGGGATATTGATTTACTGTTTGGTAAATACGTGATATTGACTTACTGTTTGGTAAGTACATGATATTGATTTACTGTTTGGTAAGTACAGGATATTGATTTACTGTTTGGTAAGTACGGGATATTGATTTACTGTTTGGTAAGTACAGGATATTGACTTACTGTTTGGTAAATACGTGATATTGACTTACTGTTTGGTAAGTACGGGATATTGATTTACTGTTTGGTAAGTACAGGATATTGATTTACTGTTTGGTAAGTACGGGATATTGATTTACTGTTTGGTAAGTACAGGATATTGATTTACTGTTTGGTAAATACGTGATATTGACTTACTGTTTGGTAAGTACGGGATATTGATTTACTGTTTGGTAAGTACAGGATATTGATTTACTGTTTGGTAAGTACGGGATATTGATTTACTGTTTGGTAAGTACAGGATATTGACTTACTGTTTGGTAAGTATGTGATATTGATTTACTGTTTGGTAAGTACGGGATATTGATTTACTGTTTGGTAAGTACAGGATATTGATTTACTGTTTGGTAAGTACGGGATATTGATTTACTGTTTGGTAAGTACGGGATATTGATTTACTGTTTGGTAAGTACAGGATATTGACTTACTGTTTGGTAAGTACAGGATATTGACTTACTGTTTGGTAAGTACGGGATATTGATTTACTGTTTGGTAAGTACAGGATATTGACTTACTGTTTGGTAAGTATGTGATATTGATTTACTGTTTGGTAAGTACAGGATATTGACTTACTGTTTGGTAAGTACGTGATATTGACTCAGCAGATTTAGTACCAAAGCACTTAGTACTGAAGTGTAGGTCTTAAAACCTTAGTGATATGAGAAAATTGAGATGACTTTTTATGATTTGACATATTTTTATTTTTCATTAGTGATGTTAGTATATGCATGAAATGGCTTGATATGCTTACACCCAATCTTCTATTGGAAGGACAAGCCTTTGTGTACAAGGTCATATGCTTAATCTTTTATCACCTTCTTTGAAACTGAATTATAAGCATTTCAGGTGTAATACCACCATTGATTTTCCCCTATTAGTCTTTGTTAAATTTGCACTTTTCAAAAAGAATTTATCTTTGTTTCAAATAAAGAAATACTTGGCCTGAGTAAAGTTTTATCCTGTCCAGTACTATAGAAAAAATTTCACATAACATTTCATTGCATGTAAGAAAATAACCATCACTGGAAGTTAACCAATCAAATTTTCCCCCTTTTTTAACCTGTCTACAAGCTTTAGTAACCATGTAACCTCAAGTTTCCAAAATATTCTATAGAAACCTCAAATAAAAATATAATGGTGCTTTGAAATACCCAAGATATATGTTTATGACCTAGAAATGTTTTACTCAATCTAATTAAAATTAAATCTCCGCACTTGCTCCTCGTTGTTTATATGTCGCGCGACATATAAACAACGAGGAGCAAGTGCGGAGATTTAATTTTAATTAGATTGTGTTTTACTGCAATGAAATGTAGGATCAATTACCTACAACTGTCAAATTCAAGGGAATATTTTTTTTTCAACCTATTTTCATTTGCAACTGGATGTGACGTACTATGATTTGGTGGTATTACACCTTCAATGTGAATTAATTGTAAAGAAATGCTATGGAAATTCCATTCCAAAGTTTGAACCATTGTACATGAATATTCAAACTCTTTTTGGAAATATCATTGTAGGTTTGTACCTCAGATACAAGTATAACTAAGTTAGCTTCAGACTATACACAACCAGAAATGGAATTCTTCAAAAGGCTGGTAAGTTGATGGTAATTGTCATATATAAAATACTACGGTTTATTTGATATTTCAGGACGAGGTATGAATTAAGCCTTTTCAAGTCTTTCTGAGAATTTCTTTTTATTTTCATAATTTTAACCTTGTTTACAAGATAAATGAGTCAAGCGAATTAACAACTCCTGGGGGAAACAGTTGGAAGAGTAATCAGGATGGATACCGAAGTAGGCTGCCGTTGTTTTAAAAATTCATAAATCCAATAGATATATATTTTCCTTGCCATAACCAGGATATTGTTGTATTTTTATAGTCTTATTTACAATTTCAATCTTATAATGTTGATTGACTGACACTGTTAATAAATTCAGTCTTATAATGTTGATTGACTGACACTGTTAATACAGATGTTGTAGTATTGAAGAACTTTCTTTTTTAAGTATGATTTATAGAAATCCATAAAGAAGACCGCTGAAAAACTACTTGTTTTTTTTTAATTTTCAGATTGAAAGCATTATAGATTCAGATAATGGTGAGATAGGTTCAACATCAGCTATAAACAGTGTAGATAAATTAGAGAAAGTAAACAAGAAATTGAGTAAACAAGATGCTCAGAATTTATTAGAGAGACTTGAAGCTCAGAAATGGATTAAAATTGTAATTATTGACCCTTACAATGTATATAGCTTTTCAGCATGCTTTACTCAGACTTTCACATAGAAAAATAGGCAATTTTCCAAAAAAATTATGTTCATTTCTTGCATGGAAGTACAAACTTTCAATTTTTTTACAGTTATCACAAATGTTGAAAACAGTATTGATATTAATATATAATTACATTCAGCATTGTTTGTCCTATCCATGCCGAGATTTAATAATGGCTGGAACATGTATATACATGTATTACTGACAACATTTCCATTTTGATCTGCTTAAGTTATTTTTTATGGAACTAGGGCCCTAAGGCACAGAATCAACAATGCTTATTATAAAAACAAGACTGAAAACTAAACATACAAACAATTAACTATAGAGATTTAACAATTAACTATAGAGATTAAGGACACTCAGTGTTCACCATTTTTGCACAGTCAATTTCAATTTCGCCACATTCAAACTTTACTACAGTGTGCTTTGGCTAACCAGGGCACTTTCAGATCATGCCTGATTGGTTTTGATTAAAATTAACCAAGTTTTTCTATCAGGTCGTGACGAAACTTAGTACAAAAAGTGGGTTGTCTTTTTAATATAAAAAGCATTAATAGGCACCAGGTAAATGAGAACAAAACCTAAATTAATGAGGTTTCTTGTGGCGAGGTATTATACGACCGCAAAAATTAAATTTTTTTTTATTTGGTTGTATATTGGTATGACGTCGTCGTCGTCCGAAGACACATTGGTTTTCGCACGCTAACTTTAGTTTAAGTGAATGGATCTGCATGAAACTTTACCATAAGGTTCAATACCACAAAAGGAAGGTTGGAATTGATTTTGGGGGTTATGTTACCAACAGTTAAGGAATTAGGGGCCAAAAATAAGCATTTTTGTAACTTCCAGACATTACTTGTGTGTTAGTGTATGGATCTCTCTGACATTGTACCACAAGGTTCCATATCACAAAGGGAATGCTGGGATTGATTTTGGGGGTAATTGCCTCAAAATTTTAGGAATTAGGGGCCAAAAAAGGGGCAAAAAACAAGCATTTTTCTAGTTTCATGATAATAACTTGTGTGTAAGTGTATGGATCTTTCTGAAATTGAACTACAAGGTTCCATATCACAAAGGGAAAGCTGGAATTGAGTTTGGGGGTAATTGCCCAAAACGTTTAGGAATAAGGGGCCTTAAAAGAGGCCAAAAAAAGTATTTTTCTAGTTTCCAGACAATTACTTGTGTTCAAATGTATGGATATGTATGGATCTCTCTGAAATTGTACTGCAAGGTACCATACCACAAAGGGAAGGCTGGGATTGATTTTGGGGGTAATTGCCTCAAAATTTTTGGAATTAGGGGCCAAAAAGGGAAAAAAAACAAGCATTTTTCTAGTTTCCATACAATAACTTGTGTGTAAGTGTATGGATCTTTATGAAATTGTACTGCAAGGTTCCATATCACAAGAGGAAAGCTGGGTTTGAGTTTTGGGGTAATTGCCCCAAACGTTTAGGAATTTAGGGCCAAAAAACAAGCATTTTTCTAGTTTCCAGACAATAACTTGTGTTCAAGTGTATGGATCTCTCTGAAATTGTACTGCAAGGTACCATACCACAAAGGGAAGGCTGGGATTGAGTTTGGGGGTGATGAATCATAAGGGGGTTCAAAAAATTTAGGGGAGAGATTTTTTTTTTCTTTAAAATTTTCCATTGTATAAATGGGTTATTTCTGATTTATATATAAAGGCAAATAATAATGATATGGTTTGAATAGGTAAATTAAAAAATTTTAAGTTCTTAGACCACATTCATTCTGTGTCAGAAACCTATGCTGTGTCAAATATTTAATCACAATCCAAATTCAGTGCTGTATCAAGCTTGAATGTTGTGTCCATACTTGCCCCAACTGTTCAGGGTTCGACCTCTGCTGTCGTATCAAGCTGCACCCAGCGGAGCATTTTATTATTATTTTATTTTTTATTTTTTTATTTTTATATTGTATATATCATAATGAGTGATATCCATATGAATATTCAGTTCTTGAACAAGGATATATGTGTGGTTTATGTTAATGAAACAGAAACTTAATAATCCAATTAAACTGAAAAGATATTCGGACAATTATGTTTTTAAAGGAGACAAAGCAAATATTTATAAATAAAGACAATAACTGATGATGTTCCTGATGGGAAGACAAACATGCGATCAGGCTTTTTGAGTAATATCACATTCACCTTTAATTTTTTTTTTTTTTTCATTTAAAGGTATTGCAACCAATAAGACAGTGAAATCTGCAATGTCGAAAAAATAGACAAACAAAAACAGATTGCATTTTTTACATGAAATGCATTGGAAGTCCTTGCTTACAATTTTTTTTGTGTACCCTACAACAACAAAATAGATGGAAATGGTACAGTTAGAAGAAATTCTTGTTAAATGTATTTCAAATATTTTTTTTGTACATTTATAGAGTAGAGGTCGTGTATCCCTAGCAACTAGAGCCTTATTAGAGTTAGAACAGTATATATTAGAAGTATACTCTAATATTACAGACAAATGTAATGTTTGTAAAAGATTATGTGTGAAGGTATGTATTTATTAAACAGACATACTTCACACTTTTTTTTCTGATTATGATACTAATTTTGTATTTCGGAGTTGCCTCTCTTGAATGGTCTCTTTGATTTTATCAGCTTCATTTTAGAACATTTGAATTACAGTTTGATTAAGCTTAAAAGTTTTTGAAAATAAATGAATAACATTAAGAAATTCAAATTTAATCTATATATTGTAACCCTATGATTAGTTAAAATACCGACGGTGTGAGACCCTCACGGGTGGTCTAGATTCCAACACCCCCTTATAGTAGTTAAACTACACTTGAATTTCGGCATCTTTACATTCCTAGATTTAACTTTAGGAGACTGTGTCCATAAAAGATATTTTTCATCTTTTTTATGTAAAAAAAAATTATAGATTTGTTTAATGAAATTGTTTGGTTACACAGTTTAGCATTCTTTTCTTTACATATCTTAACATATCTAAAGAAACAATTGCTATAAAACTGTATGATATATATATATATATAAATATATGGGTCCCCTAAAGTAAAGTAGAGCTATAATGCCTTCTTTTACTTTAGGGGAACCACAACCTATAAACAGTCTGATTTAAAGGAACAATTACTAATAAACTCTATGATATATTTGCTGTGGATTCATTATTATTAGTGGTTACCAATTTTCGTGGGTCACAGCAAACCACGAATTTAAGAATTCAACGAAAAATAATCCAGAAAAATGTTTATTCAGTGGGGTGTTTATTTCCGGTTATGTTGTGCAATTCTAGTATAGTGTTGACTTGCGATAGACATGGTAACATAAAACATGTTCTTGAAATAAGATATAAAAGTATTTTGATTAAATAAATAACAAAATCTGTAGAATATGAGTGAGAATTTACTTTTTTAAATTTGGTTAAAATAGTTAATGGTATATAACTGCAATTTGTTAATATGGGATATAACTGCAATTTGTTAATTACCGTGTCATAATTCAGTTTAAAGGTGATTTAAAATCAATAGGATTAAGTACAGGACATATATATATTGCCCTTAGGTAATATTGTTTTTGACAGGAACATTAAATTTCACACCTTTAAAGTGTATTCTAGACAGAAACGACATTTTATTAGAATAAATAACTTACTTGCACATGAACACATTGTGATGTACACTTGTAACCCAATTATTATAATCTTTTAAGACATAATTTCAAAATAGTTCATAAAAATTAAATGAAATAATTAGTTCCAACATACAACTTAAAATCTAGAAAAAGATATCCTTTTACATGTTCCCCAAAGTTTATATAAGAAAACCGTGTGATGAGTAAATATTGTAGCATGCTTTATTTTATGAAGTTAGGCTGCTAACATCGTGTGTTTTTTACTTTTGATCATTTTCTAATGACTCCTTATTATGTCGTAATTAGGGAAAATAACTTTCAATCAGTTGTACATCAAAGGACTGTGAAAAACTTTCGGCAAGAAGTTATAAATTGTTAAACAAACAAATAATTAGTTGCCTTTGTCCACGCTTGCAATCGAAGTTTTAAATAAACATTTTAACCCAGAATGACCAAGCAAGGATTTTAACAATTCAAAACGTTTTCTATGAAATTCTATCTTTTATTTTTTATTATTCATACAGATATCCACAAATTTACGTATCTGAAACATTTTTTATATTTTTTGAAACAGCGATCCAAGAATTTACATATCCCGCGAAATGTCTTTTTTTCTCTATCCACGAAAATAAATGAATTCACAGAATATATATATGAGTCCCCTAAAGTAAAGTAGTGCTTTAATGCATTCTTTTACTTTAAAAGACCCACAACCTCTATGTATAGCAATTATACTCATTTTTATACGCCCGTTTACGGGACGTATTATGGTATGCCGTTGTCTGTCCGTCGTCAACATGTCGGACATTAACTCAAAAACGCTTTAACCAATTTGCATAAAACTTTGGTGAATTGTTTATATCTATTGACGTGAGCTCCCTTTCGTTTTTTATAAATTTTAGATTTTACGTTTCCGAGTTATGGGGTTTTATTCATTAAAAAAAGGGGGATTTTCCAGTTTTCAGACAATAACTCAAAAATGCTTTCAGCAATTCTTATGAAACTTTGGTGAATTGATGATATCTATTGATGTAAGCTCCCTTTAGAATTTTATAAATTTTATTTGTTTATAGTCTGACAACAGATTTACTAAGTATTGCACAACAGCATAGTGTATTGCACAACAGCAAGAAATCTTTAATTGAATATAAATTCAATTCATTTAACCAATTTCAAGTTCTTTGACTACATTTATTCAGAAACCTATAATATGTCAAATATTTAATTACAATCCAAATTCAGACCTGTATCAAGCTTGAATATTGTGTCCATTTTTGCCCCAACTGTTCAGGGTTGGACCTCTGCGGGCATATCCAGCTGTGCTCAGCGAAGCAGTTTATTTTAACAATGTGTAAAGTCCCCTAAAGTAAAAGAAAGGCCTTGATTTTATCTTTGTCCTACATTACCTTACATGGCATGACTTTGCCCATTATAACTGTTTTGCATTGTGAATAAATGGGTTGAATTAATTAATTTTTTTTTTAAATCATTGATCTCCAGCAAAAAAGTTGAGAATGTCAAAATAACCTTCTGTTCATATTTATCAAAATTGTCAGACAAAACTCAATTTGGAGCTATTGCACTTAAAATACATCTTTAAGCAATCTTTGCATGTTTGCCTACTATCTTGAAACATATAATAGACAAAGAGAAACTTTAAACAGCAAAAATGATCAGAAAGACAAGATTTACAAATTTATATAAGTCTTGAATATTGTCCTTCAGTGACAATTTTTACTTATTTTATTGTATGTTTTTGGCTTTTATCTTGAACTATAAAAGATAAAGAGAAATTGTAAATAACAAAAATAATCTGCATGACAAGATCTACAAATACATCACCATGGCTAAAATTTCCAGTCGACTCCTTATAAGAGTTGTAGCCCTTAGAAGATTTTTATTCATTTTGTGCTATTTACATAAACTATAGTAGATAGAGAGAACCTATTAACATGATTAATAACAAAAATGATGAGCACTAAATCTGCAAATGAGTCAATATGGCATGAATCATCAATCCACCCCTATAGGAGAAATTGTCCAAAGATTTTTTCCCATTTTTGCAGAAGCTACACAAAATTTAGGTCTTGTTCATCTGAATTTCCAACTTTTTGGAAATTTTTTATTTTATATGGCTTGGAAATTTGTTTCCAGGCATGTTTCCAAATGTTAGTTTTACCAGAAGTTTTCAAAATAATGCAGAGGCAAACTGTATACTTTGTATGCAGACTACGTATACAATTAATGTGTTGTTTGATAAAGTCACCAGAAACAATGAGACATTGTTGATAGTTGAGGTTCAATGTTCAGTGTCAAACATTTTCCTAGCGAAAGTTTGGTGATTCTCTCCAGGCACTCGGCCTTCCTTGTGAAATCTGGCCACCAAGATATAGCCAATAGGGCTAAAAGTGGCATTAATGACCTAAATTCAATAATTCAATTCAGTGTCAAACAGGAAGTGGGGATACACTGTTGATTTTGGCATGCCAAATAATTGCTTGATTCAATAAAAGATTTAGTTCTATTTTGAACATGCTCACTGAATTGAAACTTTGAACAGCAAAAAATAATCAGCAATAAAAGATCTACAAATATGTTTATTTGAATGAAATAGTCAATGGACTGTACCCATATTTTTCATTTTTGCTTATTATCTTGAAAACAATAATGGATTTACAGAAACTTGTTCCATCAAAACTGGTCAACAAGACAAGATTTTGGCCCAAACAGTTTCCATTCAACACCAATAGTATTCTTTTGGAGCCTCTAATTCATATCCTCATTCTGAAGGAAAGAATATACTGGTAGGCCTCTATGTGTAACTTTAAAATGTAATGCATCCTTGTAAAACATCTGTCACATTGTCTCATTAACTACTGTACAAACTGTAACATCTTAATACTTGGTTTATATATATGTAAGCTGTACAGTGGAGCATTTTTAAATTATACATGTATCATGCTTCCTGATTAATATTTCAAACATCAATCTAATTAAAATTAAATCTCCGCACTTGCTCCTCGTTGTTTATATGTCGCGCGTGGGAGATTTAACAACAGCCACTTGAGGGTCATGTCTAGGGTCAAATTTGCTGTAGCCAATCAGCGAAGGTGCTACAAAGTGTTAGGGTATTGGACTGGCATAGGAGTCTTAGTAGCGTCTAGAGGTCTTCCGAATGTATATAAACAAAAATGGCAGCCCCCATGCGAAAAACGTTTCGTAACATACAACTGTAATAATAGTTTGTATTATTGCCTTCCGTGGTTAAAATGGCATCAAGTGAAGTATGCACCCCAAGGAAAATATCAGTATGAACAAACATTTGTGTTTTATGCGGTTTTTCTTTCATCCAGATAGAAATCTCCTCAACGGGAGAACGTGTTGAAAAAAAAACTGTTCAAACTGAAACTTCAGCAGAACTCAGAGAGAATCGCAATAATTTCTAGTGTTGTTACTGGTTTTGAAGTAAACGCCGAAGTAGACAATGACAATGGCGTCTGTATTAAATGTTTTAGAAAAGTCCAACAGTCAATCAAATTAAAGAAAGATGCATTAAAAATTCAAGAAGAACTAAGTGACTAACTTCGGGTGTCTTACCACCTGACCAATCAGAAAGATTAATTGCTAATAGATTTGTTAATCTGCAAGGTGGAACAAACAATAATATAAGCTTAGATGAATACTTGAGAGATGTTGAACAAGGATACAAAAGTAACATGTTCAGGACATCAGACAAAGGAAAGTATCCTTCAACACTCTAAAGAGTATCCTCACCTAGTTAATTTTGCAAGCCATTTTGATAACATTACCAATTTAACAGGAAAGAAGGGGTTCCACCATATACGGTCATACCAAGCTGATGTTCAGAAAATTGCAAAAGACCTACTACAAGAAAATGTACTACATGTAACATATAAAACTTCAAGAATAATAACAATTAAGTGCAAGGAGCTAAAAAAAGACAAAAACCCATTTGACAGTGCATTTATAGGACTTCGTACATTGATTCATCGCCGTGCCATCAACCAACAGTCCCCTTCCATCGCCTTCAAATCCACAAATTTGAAAAATATTGCTTGGAATTAAATTATTGTGAATAAAATGTGCAGGTTTAATTTTCTCTTAAGTCATAACCTTAATTAGCTGGTACTTTTTTAGTAGTTTGTTGCTGATATTAAAGTGTCATAAGTCAATGAGACATCAACCCAACAAACAAAGTAATGAAATACTTTCAGTTTAGTTGCAGAATATCATGGTCATTTTGATTAGGCAGCATAACTACCTACAAAAACATGTTTATAAAAATGTGGCATGATTTCTAATGAGACAACTATTCAAAAGGGACCAACTTATTTTTCTGTATTAAAGTTCACAGTTCCACCTCTGACTTTGAGTAAAACCTATAGCAAGCTGTACAAAGACCCGAAATGACTTTATGAAAACATCAAGCACGTTTGTACAAAACAACAATGAGATAAAAACCAAACTTTTACAGATTTGTTCACAAGGCGACCAGCATGCAGATATTTACCCTATATGTACATGTAAAGAGCTGTTGATAAAACTTATACAAGGTGGTGTTGGTTAAATGTGCTTTCCTGAGTGATGAAGTTATTAGTGCACATTATTTGGTTCAATTTCTATCTTAGTCAAATTAAACACAGTAACTTAATATAATAAAATGCTCTGCTGGGCCCAGCTTGATACGACTGCAGAGGTCGAACCCTGAACAGTTGGGGCAAGTATGGACACAACAGTCAAGCTTGATACAGCACTGAATTTGGATTGTGATTAAATATTTGACACAGCATAGGTTTCTGACACAGAATAAATGTGGTCTAAGAACTTATAAATTTTTAATTTACCTATTCAAACACAAGTTATTGACTGGAAACTAGAAAAATGCTTGTTTTTGGCCCCTTTTTGGTTCAAAATTCCTAAACATTTAGGGAAATTATCCCCAAACTCAAACCTAGCTTTCCCTTTGTGATATGGAACCTTGTAGTACAATTTCAGAAAGATCCATACACTTACCCACAAGTTATTGTCATGAAACTAGAAAAATACTTGTTTTTTTGGCCCTTAATTACTAAAATTTTGAGGCAATTACCCCCAAAATCAATCCCAGCCTTCCCTTTGTGATATGGAACCTTGTGGTACAATGTCAGAGAGATCCATACATTAACACACAAGTAATGTCTGGAAGTTACAAAAATGCTTATTTTTGGCCCCTAATTCCTGAACTGTTGGTACCATAACCCCCAAAATCAATCCCCACCTTACTTTTGTGGTATTGAACCTTATGGTAAAATTTCATGGAGATCCATTTACTTAAACTAAAGTAAGAGTGCGAAAACCAATGTGTCTTCGGACGACGACGCCAACGTCATACCAATATACAACCGCAAAATTATTTTGTGGTCGTATAAAAAAGAAGATGTGGTATTAAGTCTATATTTGACTGTTTTCTTGATGAACACATTGGTCTTGAACAAAGTTGTAAGTAAGATATAGTCCCACTTCGTGTTATTGTCTTGAATATGCATGAAATATTTGCCACTGAAACCCAAGTGAAGAAATCAATAATCAATCAACCTATCAATGTTCATTTTGAGCAAAAATAATCATCCTCTATATGTATACTGTTGGTTACACCAAGTTAAATACAATGAGTTTGCTATATAGAACAAATATAACATCATCAAGAACAATGAACAAAAAGGTCAAAGTCATACATGTCATATGAACCATGCCAAAACTTAGCACAAAAGGACATACATCAATAGCAATAATTCTATACACCAAAGATAGTTGACTTGTTGATCAATAAACCATGAAAAGTCAAGGTCAGAAACCAACCAGAGTGATTTTTATAGTTCGTTCCTGTGTTGTACTGTTACACCACTGTCCCAGGTTAGGATCCTGCTAACATGTTTAACCCCGCCACATTCTGTATGTATGCGCCTGTCCTAAATCAGGAGCCTTAGGTAATTCAGTGGTTGTCGTTTGTTTATGTGTTACATATTTGTTTTTCGTTCATTTTTTGTACATAAATTAGGCCGTTAGTTTTCTTGTTTGAATTGTTTTACATTTGTCATTTCAGGGCCTTTTATAGCTGACTATGCGGTATCAGCTTTGCTCATTGTTGAAGGCTGTACAGTGACCTATAGTTGTTACTTTCTGTGTCATTTGGTCCCTTGTGGAGAGTTGTCTAATCATGCTCAATGGCTATCATTCCACATCTTCTTTTTTATATAACATGTACATCTTACAATAATTCCACACCAAATATATTTTTCTGTTTGTTTATCATGTTTATAGTAATCGAGATACAGACTTGACCCCGAATATATGCTTGTTTCATGAAATGAGGTCAAGATTAGGCGAATCTACAACCATATCTGACAGACATGGCAGACATGGTTTTCTCTTTTGAATTTTTTCATATTTTTCTGGTCGGGGCCTTTTGTAGCTGACTAAAGGCATGGGTTTTTCTCGTTGTACTACAATTGCTTATATCAAGTTATTGAAAAGTCTGGAGGGTAGTTGTCTGATTGGCAATCATACCGCATCTCTTTATTTTTAAGATGAAAACAAGTAAATATCTTATGATGTGTGTCAATCAGTTACTGTCTCATTTGTTTTTATACGCTACATCTCTTTTTAGTCACATTGACAGCTGCAGGCATGACATGAACCCAGATCTAGAGTGGCAATACAGCATTTGTAAGGGGGTTAAAAGTCAAAAAAATTTGAAGAGTCTAAAGTTGAATAAGTTACAGAAACCAGATACTGCAAAATTAAATAAATAAATATCAACTGTTTTAATCATCTTGTATTTCTAATAAAGCCATATCAAGATCTTCGAAGTATTCATAGGCCGACAAATTGTAGTCTTCAGTATCGCTATCTGAAACAGCAGAATCTTCTTGCTCCTCGAGCTCCTCAACAACTTGTTCTGACAGAAATAACTTCTCAAGAGGTAACATATCACAGGATTCACAATTACAAGACTTAGTACACAAGTCACAGCATGAATGTTTCCTGCTTTCTTTCTTCATCAAATCATCCAAGTCTGAATTTCTGAGGAAATTACACATCAGATCCTTTCTCCTACAATCTTTAGCTTTAAGAATTGCCTTAACTTCCGGTTTCAACTTCTGCAAGTGGTATCCATTGTATAGGATAATGGCAACTGATGGATTTCCATCCCTCCCCACTCGCCCTATTTCTTGCAGCAAATCTACCAGATTATTTGGAGGTCCAAATAATACCACTCCACTACACTTTTTTACATCTAAACCCATTCCCAGGGCACTGGTTGACAAAATAAATCTCAAAACACTACTTTCCTCCTTCAATGCATTAATTATGATGTTTTTGTTAACATCTGGAGTTTCAGAATGGAACATCTCAATATACTTGGCACAATGTGGCAATTCTGTTACAATGTATTTATAAAGTTTGGAAGTGTCATTTATCGATGAACAATACAAAAGTGTACGTGGGAAATCCTGACTTTTTTTCCTCTAATGCATCTACTAACCATGTCATTCCCATTTCAATTTAATTTTTTAATTTTGGAAGATACATGTACTAGTTTAATATTAGACTTGTTTGGTGATAAATTAATTTCTGTTGTGTCCTCCGCTAGCTGCAATATTTTCATGACTTTTTTCCTAAAGCTTACAGTGCAAGTTGCACTTAAAGCCAATACTGTAGCATCGGAAAAGAGGGATCTTAGTTCACCTACATTTGAAAACCATTTTCGAAAAGCCTTTTTTCTGTCTCCTTCATATTGGCCCCTGAAAGAAAAATAGAAATAAGTACTTCTATAAAAACTTTTATAAAAGGTAAATATCAGCACCTCTTGCCTAGATTGTTTTAAAATTCTTATGGCAAAACAAAATTAAATACATGTATGTGCTTGTCCATATTGTTATGTAACAGCCTATCATTCAGTGGTTGTTGTTGGTTGCTGTCTATCACATTTGTTTAAGGTTTTATTTTTCATACATTCTTATAATTACATTGTAATGGTTCGTCATTTTGCAAGTAGTGGTCTTAAAAGAGCTTACTTTTTAGTATTAGGTTATCTCATTCTTGAAAGCTATACAGTTCTGTACCAGTGGTCTTAATTTTTTACTTCTATATTTTTGAAAATCTAAATTCATAAAAATGGGAAGGGAGTACACATCAATATATAGAAACAATTCATCAAAGTTTCATGCAAATTAGTTGAATAGTTTTTGAGTTACTGTCTGACAGGTTGACGATTGACAGACAGTCACAGGTTAGGGGAGGGTTGGGATCCCGCTTACATGTTTAATTAACCCTGCCACATTCTGTATAGTGCCTGTCCCAAGTCAGGAGCCTGTAATTCAGTAGTTGTCATTTGTTTATGTGTTACATACATTTGTATTTGTTTTTCGTTCATTTTTTATGCATAAATTAGGCCTTTTGTTTTCTCGTTTGAATTGTTTTACATTGTCATTTCGGGGCCTTTGATAGCTGACTATGCGGTATGGGCTTTGCTCATTGTTGAAGGCCGTACGGTGACCTATAGTTGTTTATTTCTGTGTCATTTGGTCACTTGTGGAGAATTGTCTCATTGGCAATCCTACAACTATTCTTTTTTATATAGACAACGGTATACCATAATACGTCCTGTAAATGTGCGAATAGAAATGAACATGGGGAATAAACATTGTATCCACTTACCAAATTGCTATTGTGTGAAACTCATCAATTACAACCAACTTAATGTTCAACTTCTTTAAACAAGTTCTCCAATAGGGATCACCAACCAATGTTCCTGGAGATGCAAAAATGACATCTATCAACCCCTCTTTGATTTGATCATCACTCTGGGGAAGATGATCCTAAAATGCAAAAAAAAAATGTAGGTGGGCAGTCTCCAAAAAGACATATTTCTATGATAACTTCTATAATTTAAATGTACACTGTACAAATACCCTTTCTCCATTTCACTGCGTTTGATTAAAGATTGAAATCCAATGAAATAATTCTTATTGTTGTAAAGTCCAATACAGAAATGAATATAGCTGAGATTTCAATGAATGCATGGCATATTTTCTCGATTTTGAGATGTTTCTGCCAATGTATCTGTTTGGCCATCCTACAAGGTCTTTTAGACTGCACTTTTTCATATTTTTTTTTTATTTTTTCATTGTTTAACACAAACATGACAAATAACAATCTAATTTAAAAATTAAGTTTCCTGCACGTTTCTGAGCCATGTAAAGCTGATTATGTTGTATGATTTTGCTCATTGTTGAAGGTCAGATGGTGACCTATAGTTGTAAACTTTGTCATTTGTTGTCTGGTGGAGAGTTGAGTTGGCAATTTTACTTCAAGTCTTGTACATGTACGACATCTTCTTATTCTTATATGCATGTATATTTGTTTTGAGATAGATTATTAGTACATTGTACATGTACATTTGTAATTAACAACATTTCCCTTGGACTCTGGTGCTTCTTTAATACAACATGTAGTATATATCTTTATACAAAGTATGAAGAACTACAATGTAGCATTATGGCCAAAACGACTATAAAATACTGGCAATATGACCGATACAATCTGTTCTCGGTGAAATGAGACAAATTTATGTGCTACCATGGCTATGTTCACTTGCTACTGCAGTTTTTTTTAACTTTGCTCATGTATATCTAAGTTTCATATTACTGCTTTGTTACTGTTAGTCATGTGTATGTGTTGATATACTGAAGTTTAAATGTATGTTCCTGCAAATAAATTTTATTTTATTTGATAAGGCATACATGTACATCTTTGCCTGGTCAGATGCAGATCCAGGACTATGGAAAAGGGGGCCCTGCATCTAGACACCATAAGGTGTGGGAATAACGTCTTAATACATTTTTGTAAGATAGAGGCATTGCATTAATTATATAAGTAGCTCCAACAGCATAGGCGGATCCAGGGGGGCCTGGGCCCCCCTTTTGTGGGAAAAATTTAGTTGATTATATAGGGAATCACTGAAGCATGACTGGAGCGGGCCCCCTCTTAGGTCAGTCAGTGGGCCCCCCTTACAAAAAGTTCTGGATCCGCCACTGTACAGGGGGATAACATGTCACCCCCTAACTGATTTCTCATGTGTTATAAACATCTTTATTATACAACACTGCCAACATAATAATTATAATATAAATTAGGTGTTTAATGGCATTAAATACTATAGTATAGACTATTCCATTTATTGAAGCCTTACTACCACTGCATGCTTAAAGTTATACTAACCTTTGTATGCAGCAGAAATATGTTTTCTATATTTATTAGTGTTTAACCATTTTTAAGGACATTGCCAAAAGTTTGGCAAAAATTTATCTGGTCCAGCACTCTTTGTTTTTTTTTTTAATTTAATTATCAAATTAGGAGCAAAAATCTGTAGACGTCCAGTAAAAGCACATTTGATTGATGGATTGCCCAATAAAAATTGTCATCTAGCTACACTAGAAATCAAGAAAAGATTTATCTAAATTTGCAGACTAATTTGTTAAAAGTATATGATTTCCAATGAGACAACTTTCCATCAAAGACCAGATTACAAGGATGTTAACAACTACAGGTCATCATAAAGCCTTTAACAATGAGCAGAGTTCATACTGTAACATATGAGAGGCCCAGGGATAAAAAAAATGAAAACTTTTTGGAAAGAAAAAATTTTTGGGCCTGATTGAAGCAAAAACTTTGCATGTTCACCCCTAACCTTTAACAGCACAACATAAGAACAAAGAGGTAAAAATCTGTTGAATAGGTCTTGACTCATCAGATCGGTACTAAGCACAAAAACAACAAAGATGTCTGTATTTATAATATACTGTTTGTTAAACTTGTGATTTATTAGCTTGTCTTCATAGTAAATCAACATTTAAATACAAATAAAATGTAAATAAGCCATTAAATATTCTTTTTTTATTGTTCAACTTTTGTATATGATTGAACAAATATGTAAGGTGAAAATAAATGTATAGTAAAAGTTAAAATAAATAAGAAATATTTGTAATTGTAGCAATAAGATCATGTAGTTTTATGAACCATGCTGACTGAGCAATAAAATACATTGTGCACACCGTGACACGTGCATCCTGCATTATGTTTTATCGTCCTGTTCCTCATACTTAAATCTCTAATATCAATTTAGGAAAAAAGCTGAGTTGGTATTTTGTTATAAAGAAGTATTTTAAGGTAGACTATTGTTATTTGATATGGTGTTGAATCAATTTAAAACAGATTATACGGCATCACTACTCTGTCATTCAATCACTTGGGAAGTTTGACATGCTCATGAAGATTGAATTATGTTAGATCATATGGAGCGCTCTTTTAAATAATGCATATATATATATCTTTTCAAAAAGAATGTTAAACCTAATTCTCTATTCATGTTGCAAGGATAGGAAGTAATTAAAATGTCTCTCATCACTTTTATTTTTAAAAGTTGGTGATAGCCATCTAGTATACATACAGTAATATAGCTGTCCATTAGAATACTGTTTTTGATTTTGCAGCAAATATTTGAAATAAAGAAGATGTTTTATGATTGCTGATAGGAAAACTCTCCATCAGATCCCAATTGATGTAGAAGTAAGCAACTACAGCTCACCGTATGGCCTTCAACAAGGAGCAAAACCCATACTGTATAGCAAGCAATTAAAGGCTCCGAAATGACAAATGTAAAACAATTCAAATGAGAAAACAAACAAATTGATTCATGTACAAAACAATAAACCAAAAACCAAATATAATATACAGTAACAATTGACAAACACTGAATTACAAGCTCCTGACTTGGGACAGGTACACATAGAATGTGGCAATGTTAAACAAGTTTGCCAGTGCCCAACCCTCCCTATAACAGCACAACATAAAAACAAACTATAAAAATCAGTTGAAAAGGGACTTTTTAAAACTCATCAGATCAATGCAAACCACAACAAATCACTAAAGACACAACAAACAGATCTGAGAGTATACTTATACTTATATCTGTGTTAAATGTCTTTCTATTCAACTATTTTAGAGCCAGTCATGTTTATTTATTTTAGGACCAGTCATGTGACAACTGTAGTAATTTACACTTCTGTGTATTTATTTCAGACCAGTCATGTGACAACTGTAATAATTTACACTTCTGTGTATTTATTTAGGACCAGTCATGTGACAACTGTAATAAGTTATACTTGTGTGTATTTATATAGGACCAGTCATGTGATAACTGTAATAAGTTACACTTCTGTGTATTTATTTAGGACCAGTCATGTGACAACTGTAATAATTTACACTTCTGTGTATTTATTTAGGACCAGTCATGTGACAACTGTAATAAGTTATACTTGTGTGTATTTATTTAGGACCAGTCATGTGATAACTGTAATAAGTTACACTTCTGTGTATTTATTTAGGACCAGTCATGTGACAACTGTAATAAGTTACACTTCTGTTGATTTATTTAGGACCAGTCATGTGACAACTGTAATAAGTTACACTTCTGTTTATTTATTTAGGACCAGTCATGTGACAACTGTAATAAGTTACACTTCTGTTTATTTATTTAAGGACCAGTCATGTGATAACTGTAATAAGTTACACTTCTGTTTATTTATTTTAGGGCCAGTCATGTGACAGCTGTAATACCAAGTTGCACTTCCACTGTGCAACCAGATTCTTCCAAAACAAAGAGAACCCACGATGTCCAAATAAAGAATGTGGTGTTAATTGGGCACATGAAATACCTAACAGATCTACAGGTAAAAGATTTTTAAATTCTTGCATCAATTGATTCACTTCCAAAATACCAAACAAAGCAAAAGTTAAAACAAATTAATTCCTCCTTATTAATTAACATTGATTTGTGTGACAGTAGAAATAACATTTGCGTAATGAGATCTCATCATTTTGCATAAATGTATAGTTGTTTTATAATTTATTTTATACTGTTTTAATTAATAAATATGATATTTTTTCTTTTATTGATTGACCTATTCAATTGATTAAAATTTAAATAGTTTTAGCAAGATAGCAATACATGAAAAATAACCCTAAGATTTATATATTTATTACATATTGAATTAAAAATCAATAATGTGATCACAGCACAAAATTAAAGAAAATAATATTAGATTCTTGAAAATATATTCAACAAAATCACTTTTAAACACAAACAGGAGAATTTTACCTAGTTACCATATTAATGGAAGTTGGGTATATCTAGGTTTTGAAAAACTTTACGTTTGAACAATACTGTGCACTTAAGTTCTAAATAGTGACATTAACTAATGTTAACATTTTAAAATCTGCTTACAAATGTCAAAGATATCTGAATTAATCAGGGAAATATGTTTATTTCAGATGTGGAAATGCCGTCAACACAACAAGAGAGTCGGAAGAGAAAAACCCGAACTTGATGTTTTATGTTTTACTGATTTCAATTACTAGTCAGATTGTTTTTAGATTTGATAAATGTGAAGTTGTTCTGTATATAATGGATTGTATATTAAGGTAGATTGGGGGTCTTTTTCTGAGCATCCCTTCTGATCATGTTGCAAAAATTCATTTTGGTTTAAAAATATTTTACCAAGTTTCATATAATATACAACAAAAACATCTAAAAGTTTAAGAACTTTTTTTCTAAAAACTTAAAGATTAAACTATAAAGAAATTAAGTGTTGTCAAGTGGATTTCAAATATTTTAAAAAAAAAATGCTTTTAATATCTAGAGCAGATAATTATATTGAATAGACTATTTTCATATTACGGACTTTTGACTATGGATTATATAATTTGTCGACTGGTTACCTTGGACATCATGGTACTCGGTCAAGTAAGAGCAGCCAAAATAAGTAAAATCAAACATATAATCGGTGTAATTTGGGGGGAAAGTTTACTGTTTTCCGATGATTTTGTAGTGAAAAAAAATATTAACCAGGTAATTTTCCCCCAAAATTGTACCGATTGAAAGCTTGGTTTTACTTCTTTAGCTTGCTCTTACCTGACTTGGTACCATGATGTCCAAGGTAACCAGTCGACAAATTATATAATCCGGAGTCAAAAGTCGGTAATATGAAAATAGTCTATTTGATAGTAAAATTTGTGTTTTTGTCTCGCCTGCGACGAAAGTCGCAGAAAGTGAGACATAGGTATTATATCCAGCGGCGGCGGCGTAAACTATTTGTATAAAGCTTTATATTTCAGAAGGTAGAAGACCTGGATGCTTCATACTTTGTATGCAGATACCTTATGTTACGAACTTTCCGTCTGTCATATGTCCAATGTCCTTGACCTTATTTTCATGGTTCAGCGACTGCTTGAAAAAAAAGTTTAGTTTTTTTGTTATGTAAATTTCTCACTTATTATGAGTAATAGGATAACTATATTTGGTATATGGGTTCCTTGCAACGTCTACATGTCCATCAGACAGGGTTCACCTGACCTCAGCCTCATTTCATGGATCAGTGATCAAGGTTAAAGTTACGTGATTAGGTCCGTTTCTCAGATACTACAAGCAGTAGGTCAGCTATATGTGGTGTATGGAATGATTATAAGGGATACATGTCAGTCTGGCAGGTTTCATCTGACCTTGACCTCATTTTCACGGTTCATTGGTCAATGTTAAGTTTTTGTGTTTTGGTCTGTTTTTCTAATACTATAAGCCATTGGTCAACTATATTTGGTGTATGGAATGATTGTAAGGTGTACATGTCTGTCTGGCAGGTGTCATTTGTCCTTGACCTATTTTCATGGTTCATTGGTCAATGTTAAGTTTTTGTGTTTGGTCTGTTTTTCTAATACTTTAAGCAATAGGTCAACTATATTTGGTGTATGGAATGATTGTAAGGTGTACATGTCTGACTGGCAGGTGTCATTTGTCCTTGACCTCATTTTCATGGTTCATTGGTCAATGTTAAGTTTTTGTGTTTGGTCTGTTTTTCTCATACTTTAAGCAATAGGTCAACTATATTTGGTGTATGGAATGATTGTAAGGTGTACATGTCTGTCTGGCAGGTGTCATTTGTCCTTGACCTCATTTTCATGGTTCATTGGTCAATGTTAAGTTGCTCTTGTTTGGTCCTCTTCTCAGATACTATAAGTTATAGGTCAACTATATGTGGTGTATGGAATGATTGTAAGGTGTGCACGTCTGTCTGACAGGTTTCATCTGACCTTGAGCTTATTTTCATGGTTCATTGGTCAATGTTAAGTTTCTGTTGTTTGGTCTTCTTCTCAGATGCTATAAGTCATAGGTCAACTATATTTGGTGTATGGAATGTATTTTATTATTTAACTGCTGATTACTTACATTGAAATAGATTATTTTATAAAAATCTTCAAATAACATTAATAATGATAATAAATAATAAAAACTTTTAAGGGATCATTACTAAACCGTGATTAACAAAAACATTGGAAGGTGTGAAAATGTTAAAATAAGGTCACTCATGCATGAATGTTTAACATAGAATACAGTTCACTCCAGTCCCTTCATAAAGATTAATTGGCTGAATATGTACAGATTGAAGAACTTTTGAAATTTTGTTTGCACAACAGAATCACATTTACTGATTTTTGATACATATGAAATAAGATAAGTATTGAGATAAATAAAAAATATTTTATCATAGCAACATAAATAGATAATATGAAAATATGACTTTTTTACAATATTTTGATCAAAGATTGAAGATAATTTTAGTTTTTTTTTTTTTTTTTGGGGGGGGGGGGGTGGGGGGGTCTTTCAGGTTCATCTCAAGGAATTAACAAATATTTATCCAGTTTCTGCAATGCCTTAAAACTTTTCCTTGTGCACAGGTTTGTCTGTACTCAAGAGGAAATAAAAAAAAATGGCCATATTTGTCAATCCCTTCTGATGAACCTTAAATCTAGATGAAAAATTATTTCATAAGAAATTTCAAAGTTTGCTTTTAGTAGTCATTTGACTTAATGTTTCAAAAAAAAAATTTGTATAATGCGATTTTATTTACTCAAATGTTGCTATATTTGCCTGTGATTTATTAGCCAAAAGTGTATCCCATGTGATTTTATGATGCTGTTTTTTCTAAAAACATGTTACTCAACATGAATGTAAAAGCATTACAGACCTATATTTAAGCCTAAGGTCAAGGTAACTAAAAAAGACTAAAATTTGAACTTTATTTGGCATGTGCGTACCTTGCATGGTTCACATATCTGTCAGACATATTTCATTTGACCTTGACATCATTTAATGGATCAGTAAACAAGATTTAGTTTTCATGATAAAGTCCATATCTCAAATTCTATCACCAATAGGTCTTCTATATTTGGTGTATAGAATGATCGTAAGGTTCACATTTCCAACTGGCAGATAAGTGATAAGTTCATAAAATTTTCTGTATGGAATGAATGTTATGTGTATATGTCTGTCTGACAGGTGTCATCTTACCTTGACCTCATTTTATGGTTCATTGGTCAAAGTTCAGTTTCCTCAATGAGGTTTGTTTCTAAGATACTTTAGGCAATATATGTTAAATAAATTTGGTGTATGGAATGATTGTACGGCCTACATGTTTGTCTGATAGGGTTTATCTCACCTTGACTTCATGTTCATTCATCATTAAAATGTTAATTTAATGTAAAGCTTATATAAACTTATTTTTTTTACTTTCAACATAAATTCAATTATGAACACTAAAACAGGCGAGACATTTCAGTGTGTCCACTCTTGTTTTTTTATTTTTCAAGAAAATAAGGCCAATTCTATTGTTATAACCCATATAAAATAACTGTGATTTTGCTAATTTCAATTTATTTTAATGAAAAAACTAGTTATGTGACCCCCAGTTTTTAGCTCACCTGGCACACAGGAAAACTAGTTATGTGACCCCCAGTTTTTAGCTCACCTGGCACACAGGGCCAAGTGAGCTTTTCTCATCACTTGGCGTCCGTCGTCATCTGTCGTCGTTAACTTTTACAAAAATCTTCTCTGAAACTACAGGGCCAAATTTGACCAAACTTGGCCACAATTATCATTGGGGTATCTAGTTTAAAAATGTGTCCGGTAAACTGGCCAACCAACCAAGATGGCCGCCATGGCTAAAAATAGAACATAGGGGTGAAATGTAGATTTTGGCTTATATCTCTGAAACCAAAGCATTTAGAGCAAATCTGACATGGGGTAAAATTGTTTATCAGGTCAAGATCTATCTGCCCTGAAATTTTCAGATGAATCGGACAACCCGTTGTTGGGTTGCTGCCCCTGAATTGGTAATTTTAAGGAAATTTTGCCGTTTTTGGTTATTATCTTGAATATTATTATAGATAGAGATAAACTGTAAACAGCAATAATGTTCAGCAAAGTAAGATCTACAAATAAGTCAACTTGACCAAAATGGTCAGTTGACCCCTTAAGGAGTTATTGCCCGTTATAGTCAATTTTTAACCATTTTTCGTAAATTTTTGTAATCTTTTACAAAAATCTCTTCCTCTGAAACTACTTTGACAAATTTAACCAAACTTGTCCACAATCATCATTAGGGTATCTAGTTTAAAAAATGTGTCCAATGACCCCGCCCGCGAACCAAGATGGCCGACATGGCTAAAAAATAGTACATAGGGTAAAATGCAGTTTTTGGCTCATATCTCTGAAACCAAAGCATTTAGAGCAAATCTGTTGAGGATAAAATTGTTCATTAGGTCAGGATCTATCTGCCCTGAAATTTTCAGACCAATCAGGCAACACGTTGTTGGGTTGCTGCCCCTGAATTGGTAATTTTAAGAAAATTTTGCAGCTTTTGGTTATTATCTTGAATATTATTATAGATAGAGATAAACTGTAAACAGCAATAATGTACAGCAAAGTTAGATCTACAAATAAGTCAACATGACCAAAATTGTCAATTGACCCCTTAAGGAGTTATTGCCCTTTATAGTCAATTTTTTACAATTTTCATAAATTTTGTAAATTTTTGTAAATTTTTACAAAATATTTTCCACTGTCACTACCGGGCCAAGTTCATTATAGATAGAGATAATAGTAAGGAGCAAGAATGTTCAGTAAAGTAAGATCTACAAACACATCACCATCACCAAAACACAATTTTGTCATGAATCCATCTGTGTCCTTTGTTTAATATGCACATAGACCAAGGTGAGCGACACAGGCTCTTTAGAGCCTCTAGTTATTTTCAAATTTGAAAGTACATTGACTCGGAAGTCTTTTACATTAGTTTAAGAAATATCTATCGTTGAACATTTAGACACCCCAGCTGCCTTAATGTCATTTCGAAGACAAGTTGAATAGAATAAATCATTTATTATGCATTGAAGAGTTGAACGTTAAAATCTTTATCAAGTATGATCAGTTTGATATGGATTGTGCAAGTAATTACTGATGTACGTAAAATGACTAAAATAAGCATTTTTCTGTTATGTGGAAAAGCGCCAATCCTGTTAACATATATATGTAGAATGATTTAAGTTTTGTTGGCGTTAGATTTCATGTTTCTTAAAGGTAATAAAGATTTCATGAATGAATAAAACAAATTCACAACACAAGTAGAGGATTTGTGTTTAAATTGTGACAGTACAGTAATTCAGTGTTCTTGGCTGTGTATTTAGCCTTGCACACAATTTAATAATAATATAGTTGTAAAACCTTAAAAAGATGGTAAAAGGTAAAGCTTTTTAATATTTTTTAATAAAAGAAAAGGTCAAGGCATTTCAACAATATATGAAAACATGCTATTTATTTTAATAGAATATGTAATTGTTGTTACTGCACATATTCTGAAAAAAAAAGCAAATAAAACCTGATAATGTTGATAAATAAAACCAAATGGAAATAGTTGAATTTTAGATATTGTCACTAATTTGACCTGAGGTGTGTTGTCAACAACAAGAAAATTTGAAATAAAATTTAATTTAAAGTATCATGTCTATTTGTTTGAAGTAACCCTACTGAAATTTCAAAAAAAGGAAAATATCAACTCTATAGAACACAGATGAGCAGAGTTACATAGATTTAGTCAGTCTACAGTAACTTTTTAATTGTCTAGATATCATGATATATACCATTGAATGTCTTTCCAATTTTCTATCATTTAGAATGGATTGAAATTTATAAAATAAGATAATTGATTGATTGTTGTTTACTTTACATCCAGTGGCAAATATTTCATGCATGTTCAGGACAAGAACAAATTAACAAATACAAAAGGTACGTCCTACAATAGGGGTCCATTGGAAATTTGAATGCCACTGGAAAATGAGGATAAGATAGGGCAGAAATGTAACCTTGCAGCAGGCCACCTTCAGACCCTCAAAAATGGTTTGCTAAGGTTCTAAACATGCAGAGAGCATGCAATTCCCTCTCTACACAAGACATAAGATTTAAACCCCCATTCTAACCAGATGTGGATTCAACTTTATACATCCTGCACAGCCAAACAGATGCTCCACTTTAGAAAGGCTTTTATGGCAGGTTGGAAGAAGACTAAGGTGGCAATATTTCTATACCCCCGTCACCCTTGGGGCAAAAATAAGATGAAAGAAAATTTTACATGCACAAAGAATACAGTGTCTACCATTGCTTATAGTAAGAATTGGGATTCTTATGTAATATGTGCCATTATGACAAGAAAAAATTAAATATATTAACAAGGAACATATAAAAAAAAATTGAAAAGGCATGTGGCTGTTGGATAAGGTGTGAGCCTTAGACAAGGGTAGATATGTACTTTTGGAAATGTGTGAGGCTGAGAAACGGGTAGAAATGTGCTGTTTGAAAAGGTGTAAGAAATTTAAAACTGAAAGATGTGCTGTTTTGAACGAAAGATATGAGGCTGGGAAACGGGTAGATATGTGCTGTTTGGAAAGAGACGAGCCTGAGATACTGGTAGATATGTGTGGTTTCGAAAGATGGGAGGCTTTAAAAGCGGGTAGACGTGCTTTTTGGAATGGTATGAGGCTGGGAAACTGGTAGATATGTGCTGTTTGGAAAGGTGGGAGGCTTAGAAACGGGTAGATATGTGCTGTGAGGGAAGGGGTTAGGTTGAGAAACCGGCAGATATATGATGTGTGGGAAGGGGAGGCTTAGAAACGGGTAGACATGTGCTGTTTGTAAAGGTGGGGAGGCTTATAAACAAGTAGACATGTGCTGTTTGGAAAGGTGGGAGGCTTATAAACGGGTGGGAAGGGGTTATGTTGAGAAACCGGTAGATATTTGCTGTGTGGGAAGGGGAGGCTTAGAAATGGCTTTCCAAATACCGTTTCGATTCTTACATCACTGAAGAGACATTAATTGTCGAAATCCGGATATGGTGTACAAAAACCTTTGCACCTTTTGTTTGCGGTATACCATCTTTTCCGCAAGTTTATTGTTTTCTGTTTAGTATTAAATTTATAATTAAGATCAATTTATTACATCGGTGATCCGTTTATTTGGCAATCGCCAATGGCAGTCAGCAGGGTTTAAGAACATTTGTTGTTCGACCTGTTAGTCAAATGCGTTTTGTTAAAATATACTTTTTCACTCTTTTGGTCTTTTGGAAAATGTTGTTTGTGCTGTATTTAGACCCCTCTAACAAGAAATTTGTTTTGCATGCACACGTATAAAAATTGCGGTTTTTATCCTGCGTTGGATAAAAACCGCAATTTTTATACGTGTGCATGCAAAACAAATTTCTTGGTAGAGGGGTCTAAATACAGCACAAACAACATTTTCCAAAAGACCAAAAAGTGGAAAAAGTATATTTATACAAAACGCATTATATATAAGATATCTTATAAATATTTTTTATATAAGATATCTCATATATTTTATAAGATGTATTCTATAGTTTATAAGATATCCTAAAAACAAAATTATATGAGATATCTTATAAACTATATAAGATATCTTTTAAACTATATGAGATATCTTATAAAGATTTTTAGATATCTTGAAGTTAGAATAAATAGTAAAACGGCTTGCCATATAAATTAGTGTTTTAAATCTCGACCTTTCCCCTCTTACTATCGACCAATAGAATAAAGAAAGGTACATAAAGGAATGAACAATAAACATCAGATTGAAAGAAAACATTAACTCTATATTACCGGTATAGCAAATTAACAACCCACAAGAACAGGCGTTACCGAATGCAAGATCAAAGTACTTCAGCTGGTTAGAAACCGAACCGTCCTCTTCACTAATATAGGTGGCTGTACTGACTTCAGGATTGATTTCTTAAGCCACGTATTAATGGTGGAGAAAGATATTTGCATTGCCCAGATTTTTGCACAGAATGTGAATGCAGAACTAACAAAAAAAATTGTCTTGTTTTAAACTATAACTCAGAAAATGGAGGTTGATTCCCAAAACACATCTGACACAATCAATGTTTGAACGTCAACAGAATAGTTATGACCTCTAACAATAAGTCTACTGGGCAAAAAAGAAAGATTTAGAGGACAGCTGGTTCATAAATAATTATAATTATAATATACTTAGAGCAAATAACTGATAATTTTTTACAGTATGATAATAGCATTAAATTTAAGTAAATTCCATATTTTCCATAATGGTGCTTCGCGGGCTGATATGAAAACTGTATCAACTACTTCCGGTTATTATCGCATGCCTATCCGTAACGTTATCG